CAGACCACAGACCACAGACCGCAGACCGCAGGCCGCAGACCACAGACCGTGCAGGGTTCATGAGGGTCGCGGGGCGATGCTCCGTCACTGCGGGCTCCTGGCAACCTCGATGCTGAGCGGAGTTTAGAGAGCTGCCACCTCCCACATGAGCTCGGCCCCGCGAGGCTTTAGGGGACGACTGCTGATGAAGAGCCCTTCCCCGCACTGAGGGGCTGGCAACCCTGGCCGGGGATGGCACGGCGTTACCTACATGTAGAGCCAAGCTGCTGTCACCACTGCCACCCTGGGCTCGGAGTTGGCCCAGCTCCGCGTCCGCAGCCTCCTTGGCCGCAAGGGCCTCCTGCAGGCGGCGGCTGAGGATGCCCACGGCGTTCTCGTAGGCCTTGTGTTTGGTCTTCATCTCCTTCTGGGCGCTGGTCAAGTCTGAGCCCAGCCGCCTCATCTTCTGCTTCTGTTCCGTGATGGCCCTGGGGTGTCACGAGGGAGACACAAGAGGAAGCTGGATTATCCTCTGACGCGACCGTCTGGCATTCTGGTTCGCAACAGCAGGCAACAGGCAGGGCGTCTCAGAAGCCCCTCCTGAAGGACGGGCTCAGTGGCCGAGACCCTGGGCCACGGGGAGGCTGCCTCTGCTCACGCCCCACCCTCGCTCTCCCCAGAACCCGGCTGCCCTAGGAAAGCCGGGTGAGTGTGTGTCTGTCCTGTGGGGGCTGCACACAGAGAAGGATCAGTCCGTATCGGGTGTTCCTGCAGGGCCAGGCCAGCAGAAGCACTCAGTGAATTTTCACCATTTCCACCACCAGCATCAGACCTGCCCTCCTCTTGGGGCAGCTTATGAACGACCCTGTGAATGCAGAGAAAGAGTCTAAACTGCTCCTACCAAACAGAAACGTTCTTGAATATCGGTAAAAATTTCAACCATCAGATTCATGAGCAAATCACCAGCTGATTAAAGCAAAGTAGCACAGACGCCCACGCCTGGAATCCTGGGGGGCCGAGGCGGGAGCATCGCCTGAGTCCAGGAGCTTGAGACCAGCCTGGGCAACATACTGAGACCCCATCTCTACAAAAAAATTTAAAAATTAGCCAGGCGTGGTGGTGCACACCTGGGGTCCCAGTTACTCCAGGGGCTGAGCTGGGAGGATCACTTGAGCCCAGGAGGTTGAGGCTGCAGTGAGCTAGGATGGCACCACTGCACTCCAGTCTGGGCGACAGAAATAGACCATTTCGAAAACAAACAAAATACCTCAAAACTGCATTTAGCTGGGCATGGTAGCTCACGTCTGTCATCTCAGCACTTTGGGAGGCTGAGACAGGAGGACTGCTTGGCCCTGGGGTTCGAGACCAGCCTGGGTAACATGGTGAGACCCCATCTCTACAGAAATGAAGCAAAGCAGCACAGGGCACAACGCCAGAGGAAGAAGGCCCGACGGCCTCTGCGTGTGCACGCACATATTGACGGGCATGTGCCCGCGAGGTCTGTGCACCACTGGGTAAGACAGCCCCGACGGCATCTGTGTGTGCAAACGTGTGCCGGCGAGGTCTGTGCACCACTGGGGTAAGACAGCCCTGATGGCATCTGATTGTGCACACGTGTGCCGGCGAGGTCTGTGCACCACTGGGTAAGACAGCCCCGACGGCATCTGTGTGTGCAAACGTGTGCCGGCGAGGTCTGTGCACCACTGGGGTAAGGCAGCCCCTAACAGCATCTGATTGTGCGCACACGTATGCACGGGCGTGTGCCGGCGAGGTCAGTGTGTTCATGTTTATGTGAGTGTGAGGTGTGAGGATGAACACTGAAGCGTCTCCCAGGGTAGGAGCTGGCAGAGGGGATGCTGCTGCACAAAAAGTCAAACATAAAAACACCTGGGGAGCTTCTGTTACAGGAGCTTCAGCAAGTCCACGATCAACTCGGATCATTTCGCAGATGAGCAGCCACCAAACCACACAGACTCCAAACCTGGACCTTAACGTTCCAGGCCACCACAGCACCTCCCAGGGAGGGTGTCCCCGCACAACAGCAGCCCACGGGGCTCTCCTGCCTCCCCCGGGCACACGTGGACTTACTTCCGGGCTTCTTGCTGCAACTCTTCAATTTGTTTCTTCAGCACCTCGTTGGCCTCTGTGACCGCGACCATCTGCTCCTTATCGAACTGCAACGACTTCGGAAGGGAAGGAGGGCGTGAGGAGCGGCACTGAAACCCCAGCCTGTCTCCCCTCCCGGGCTCCAGCCCATCGCCCCTGCCGATGGCACTGCACAGGCTCGCCCTGGAGGATTTGCGCCTTGAGAAAAATCCTGGGAGAGACATCTACCTTCTTACAAACCACTGTTTTTTTTTCTTGAGATGGAGTCCCATTCTGTCGCCTAGGTTGGCGTGCAGGGGCGTGATCTCAGCTCACTGCAACCTCTCCGCCTCCCAGGTTCAAGTGATTCTCCTGCCTCAGCCTCCCGAGTGGCTGGGACTACAGATGCCCGCCACCACACCCGGCTAGTTTTTTTATTTTTAGTAGAGACGGGGTTTCACCATATTGGCCAGGCTAGTCTTGAACTCCTGACCTTGTGATCCACCCACCTCGGCCTCCCAAAGTGCTGGGATTACAGGGGTGAGCCACTGCGCTCGGCCACAAACCACTCATTATTGAGACCAACAACCGTTTCCAAACACTGTGTCCAGAGCATCAGAGGCACAACAGGACATGACTAGTTCATAGGAAAGCCTGTGGACCCAGGACCCCTCCTCAAGGATCCAGACCCCTCCTCAGAAACCCCAGGACCCCTCCCTGGAGACCCCTGGAACCATCCCCAAAGTCCCCGGGAACCCTCCCCTCAAGCCCCTGGGTTCCCTCCCCACAGCCCCTGGACCCCTCCCTGAGCCCCCGGAACCCCTCCCCAGAGGCCCCTGGGACTCATCCCTGGAGACTCCAGGACCCTTCCCTGGAGCCCCCTGGATGCCCTCCTCAGCCTCCACTGTGAACACTGACGGCTGCGTCCCCCACCTGCTCCTGCCCTCGCAGCCTTTCCCCAGCTTCTGCGTGCTAGGCGAGTCCCCACAACCAGCCCAGACCTGCAGCTGTGGGGTCTGAACGTGCTCTGGCCCCACTGCTGTGTCCTCCAAGCCTCCTGCAACCCAAGGAGCCGGCGCTGCCCTTGGCCCACCTCCCCACCCCGGCAGCAGCGTTAATCCATCAGCCCCCATTTTCTGACACCGACCGGCGCTCCTCCATCAGCTCCTACTTTCCGACACTGACCGGCGCCGGCCACACCGCCTACTCCCGGCCTCAGCCTGGCTCCTGATGAGCCAGACACGCTAACCAGTCCGCCTAATGGGACCTTGGCTCGGTCCTCTCTGGCAACTTCAGAAACATCATAAGCAAAACGACCCTCCCTAAATTTACTGTTGCTCTCCCGATTTCTCATCTCGCCTCCCGGTTCCTCAGCCTGGATGTCTGGACAGGATCCTGGACTGTGGCCTCCATCCCGCACCCCTCACCCCTCACCTCCGGCTCACCTGCTCTGCCACCTGCAGCCGAGAAACTGTCACCAGCATCCCGGACACCCACTGTGTGCAGAAGCCAGCCCAGGCTCAGCTTCCACAGGAGTGTGACTGTCTCTGGCCGGTCCCAGCTCCGCACCCAGCCACAAGGGACTCCCAGGGTCCCCGGGCCCCGGTGCCCTGCCCCGACGTGGGGTCTCCACAAAACACTCACCCTTGCTTTACGCATGACAGCCGCCGTCCTCACACACTGGATCCCGGGAGCCCATGGCAATGGGGAGAAGCTGGGTGCCTCACGGGGCCTTCTCACTCCCTCCCTTCATGCAACATCGTCACCTGGACTTACCAGGCCTCACCTGACCGCCCCTCTGGGACCTATGCTCCAAGTGGGCCATATTCCCAGCTGTTCTTGCAAAAGCCTCTCCCGCCTTGCCACCGCCCCGCCCCAGACACGGCCCCGCCCCAGACTCGGCCCCGCCCCAGACACGGCCCCGCCCCAGACACCGCCCCACCCAGACACACGCGCCCCAGACACGGACTCGGCCCCGCCCCAGACACCGCCCCGCCCCAGACTCCGCCCTGCCCCAGACACACGCGCCCCAAGCACTTTGGCCGAATCCTCCCCATCAAGTGAGTCAGTCCGACACGGACGGACCTGCAAGTGTGTTTCCATCTCGTCTCGCTCCTTCTGTGCCGACTGGAGATGCCCTTCAAGGTCGGCCATCTGCTGACGGACCTGGGCCGCCTCTCGGTGCAGGCGCGAGAGCTCCGCCTCCGCGGCCCGCTTCTCCCCGTGCACTTGCATCAGCTCCTGCCGCAGCTCCTTCAGCTCCGAGTCCAGCCTTTTCCTGGTGGCTTTCAGCTCACTGATGAGCTGGTCTTTGGAGGTGGCGTCGCGCCGGTAGGCCTCCACCATCACCTGCCGAGACAGAAGCTGTGAGCCGACGCTGGGCGGTGGGCGCGGGGGACTTCTGGGGGTCACGCTGGCTTCAACAAAAATGTTTACCACTTACCAGGGACACAACTTTTTTGAGGTAAAGATACATTTCATCAAATCTAAGCCTTCATCGACTGAGACACACCATTTTTACCCACAGGTGACATCACGGCCTGTTTAAACAAGAGTCTGTGTGTGGTGCACGAGGCAGTCACACCAGCCTCCTAGACGTCTCTTCAATTCCAAGGAGTCTGGCTCTCTCCAGCCTTCAACTGCACTGCTTTGCTTCCAACAGGTACTCCCCTTGCTTGTGGCTCAGTAATAAAACAAAGCAGGACTCACGACACTGCTCCAGGGGCTGCCCTTGCTCAGAAATAAAATACAGCAGGCCGGGCGCGGTGGCTCACGCCTGTAATCCCAGCACTCTGGGAGCCCGAGCTGGCTGATCGCCTGAGGTCAGGAGTTCAAAACCAGCCTGGCCAACAAGGCGAAACCCCTATCTCTACTAAAACTACAAAAAACCAGCCAGGTGTGGTGGCACATGCTTGTAGTCCCAGCTACTCAGGAAGCTGAGGCATGAGAATCACTTGAACCTGGCAGTCAGAGGCTGCAGTGAGCTGAGACAGCACTACTACACTCCAGGCTGGGCGACAGAGCCAGACTCCGTCTCAAAAAAAATAAAACACGGCACTCACAACGCTGCTTCAGGGGTTGTCCTCGCTCAGAAATAAAACACAGCACCACGAACAATACAGCTTCGGGGGTCACCCTTACTCAGATCCCATAAAATCCAACAGGAGGTACTGGCTTCACTGACACAAAATTTATATTCCATGTCTTTTTGGGTAATCATAATTTGTTTCAATGCTGGAACTCCATGTGCATTTTTCAGACATTTTAAATGGCAAACCCAACCTGTGTGAACAACACTGCACAACACATAGCTCCCCAGAGTGAGCACAACAGGGTTGTGCTCCAGTGACAGGCACTCCAGTGACAGCCGCCCCTGGAGATCTGAGGGGCCAAGACCCCCACCCCGCTGTGGAAGTGCATCTTGACTTTGCAGATTAAGTACCTTTAAAAAAAGTTAAAGAGAGCCGGGCGCGGTGGCTCATGCCTGTAATCCCAGCACTTTGGGAGGCTGAGACGGGTGGATCACAAGGCCAGGAGATCGAAACCATCCTGGCCAACACAGTGAAACCCCGTATCTACTAAAAATACAAAAAATTAGCCAGACGTGGTGGCCAGTGCCTGTAGTCCCAGCTGCTCGGGAGGCTGAGGCAGGAGAATGGCTTGAACGCGGGAGGCGGAGCTTGCAGTGAGCCGAGATTGTGCCACTGTACTCTAGTCTGGGCGACAGAGTGAGCGACTGTCTCAAAAAAAAAAAAAAAAAAAGAGTTAAAGAGAACTCAAGATGTTACCTGTTATCTTCTTCTCAACTCCAATGACACTGGAATTGCTAAGCAATTAAACCACACAAAACTCTGTTCATACACTTGTTTCAAGTGAAGAAATCAACAACACATTTTTACCTTTTGTTGAAGAAACTGTTCCTTTATTTTTTGCGTTTGCTTTTTCAGAGTGGCAGTCTCCTGCTGCAGGTGTTCCACCTGTGGGGAACATGTGCACAGACATTACACTGTGGGCTCCAGGAGGGGAATGTGTCTGCACAGATGTTACACTGAAGGCTCCAGGAGGGGAACACATCTGCACAAATGTTACAGCGAGCTCCAGGAGAGGACACATCCTCACAGATACTACACTGAGGCCTCCAGGAGAGGACACATCCTCACAGATACTACACTGAGGGCTCCAGGAGAGG